TGGGTGTCAGTGCCTCTCCCTCCCCCTGGCTCCCGCTCCACCAGCCCTGTCTCCCACCCCCATCCCCTTAGCTTTCCCCTTGCCAGCCCCAGTTCCCACCCCCCTCACAGCTCAGTGTCCCCAGGGGAGAAGCCATACGTTTGCACGGTACCAGGCTGTGGGAAGCGCTTCACCGAGTACTCGAGCCTGTATAAGCACCACGTGGTGCACACACACTGCAAGCCGTACACCTGCAGCACCTGCGGCAAGACCTACCGGCAGACCTCCACCCTGGCCATGCACAAACGCAGCGCCCACGGCGAGCTGGAGGCCACAGAGGAGAGTGAGCAGGCCCTTTATGAGCAACAGCAGCTCGAGGGTGAGGGGCCTGGGCAGGAGGTGAGAGTGGGGACAAGACAGGCCTCCCGTGGCCACCTGGTAGCAGGTGTCAGCCTGGGCTTTCCTCTCCTAGCCGCGTGCGCAGCCGAGGAGAGCCCGCCACCCAAACGACCCCGCATTGCTTACCTTTCGGAGGTGAAAGAAGAGGGTGATGACATCCCAGCCCAAGTGGCCATGGTGACTGAGGAGGACGGGGCCCCCCAGGTGGCTCTGATCACTCAGGACGGTGCCCAGCAGGTACAGGCGTTGGGGTAGGGGTGGGGTGGGCCACTCTGGTTGGTACTCTCTGTCTCTGAGGAGTCTGGAAGTTCTGACAGCCCCACCTCTACCCAGTTTCTCTTTTTAGCCTAGTGATTCTCAGGGAGCTGAGGCTGAGGGTACCCAGTCTTGTAAGGCAGCCCCTTCTCATGCTTTCACCTCAGCCACTGGAACTTCTAGAGCAGTTAGTAGCTTCCCCTTTACCTGAAGGCTGATAGGTCCTGATTGTCTGAGTGAGACACCTGGATGTCCTTCTCAAGAGAGGCATGTTGATGTGGGGGCCAGATCATGGCATGGGGTCTGGAAGCTAGAGTTTCTAGCCAGCAACATAACATGACCCTTGTCAGCACCCTTACCGTCAAGTGCACTCCTGTCTTTGGGAGCTGCACTCCCCACTCATCTTCCTTCCCATCTTCAGGTCAGCCTGTCCCCAGAAGACCTGCAGGCCCTGGGGAGTGCTATCAGCATGGTGACCCAGCACAGCAGCACCACCCTCACCATACCCAGTGAGGACGATGACCTTGCCACCTCTGGCACACACACAGTCACCATGGTCAGCGCTGATGGCACGCAGACGCAGCCCGTATGACCAGGCGGTTTGCTTGGGGTTTCTTGTTCTCTTGTCCTTCCTTCTTGCGGGGTGGTTGTTACAGTGCAGGCTGATCTAGGCTAGCCTTGTTTACTCACCCCACGGCTCCCCTGAACTATCTATCGGCAACTCTTCTTTTGAAAAGCATTTCACTGGGGTCATGAGACAGTTTCTAAACCTTGATCTACCTCTACTTTGCTTTGCTACCATGGGCAAGTCACTTTTCCATGGACCAGTCCATTTTCAAATGACAGGATTAAATTATCTCTGGGCCTTTTACAGCTCTAACCTATGATTCAAAATCCCTAAATTAAGTTGGCTCTAAGTTAGAGAACAATACCATCTCACTAAGCCCTGAGCCCCATGTTAATTAATCTGACCAATAATGGTTGTATCCATCCCCTTCTGGCTTGTTCCTAGCCACCTGGCTCAAAGGGATTTTCATTTGGATTGGGGGAACGGAGAGTAATGTAGGTGGGTTAGGAAAACCTTCTTTTATATTTCAGGTTACAATCATTACCTCTGGGACCGTGGTGGCCGAAGACTCTAGTGTAGCATCCCTTCATCACCAACAGGTGGCACTGCTGGCCACAGCCAATGGAACACACATTGCCGTGCAGGTGGGTGTAGAGGTCCCATACCCTGAGAAAGGAATAGGATGGGATGGAAGTGAATGAGATGGAGATGTTGAAGAGAAGGGCATTCGGCTCAAAGAGAGCTTATTTCAGAAGATAAATCCCTTTCTGCGTACATCTACACACCTGTCTCAGGCTCTTTCTTGACTGAAGCAGAGTGGTGAAGGCCCCTCTGGCCTACAGAATAATTTCAGTGGAAACACGCGTGGTGGTCTAAACCCTTCATCTCTTGGTGTGTCCGTTTCTTCATCAGGAAAATAAGCGGGGCTAAAGTAGATGATGACTAAGGTCCCCTCCATCCTGTCATCCCCTTCTGTGACCAGGGCCAACTCTGACCGTGGACCATTCTGGCCACGCCTGGCCACGCCTAGCCTACTAGGACTCTTTGTCAGTGAACTTCCTGTTAACTGGGGCCCTACTAACTGCTCAGGATGTGGCACTAGATGGATGGAGGGGATTCAGAAAAGTAGACCACGTACTTAATAGCACTAGACTCTAGTGGGAAGTGTCTCACTTTCTCCTTCCTTCTCTACCCCCTTCTCCACAGCTGGAGGAGCAACAGACCTTAGAGGAGGCCATCAGCGTGGCTACCGCTGCCATGCAGCAAGGGGCCGTCACCTTGGAGGCGACAGAGTCCGAGAACGGCTGCTGAGTCCCAGGGGGCTGGGTCCCACACTGTGTTGGAGAAGGTGCCATGCCACACAGGCATCCTTGCTTCCAAGGGCCCAGGCTGTGGCTGACACACAGAAGGTGGCCACACAGGTCTCCAGGGTGAGAAGGAGACAGGAAGACAGCCTCACAGAAGGGTCTGGGGGCCCTGCCCAAGAGGAAGTCCAGACAGCTGGAATCGGGGGAGTGTGTCATCCTCAGGAGCTAAAGAGGACGAGCTGATCACCGGGCTGCACTGGGGCATCCTCCCCTCAGAATCAGCTGGGTGCCACTCTCCTTCCTCCAGAGAGCACCTTTCCTACCCTCAGTCTACTCCCCTTCTCAGGTGGCAATTGGGACTGCTGTGCGGACTGGTCCTATATTCTGACTGGTCACTGCCCACCAGGGGAAGGGGCAGACAGCTCTTCAGCCCAGTAGGGGCAGAGCAGGCCCAGCCCTGCTCCTCCCAGCAATAACCACCTCCCTGAGGCCTGCCAGGATGCCTGGCCACTTGGCAGCAGGGACTTCCTGCCACTGTAGTCAGAATTGCTCAGGGGCCTGTGGCTGGAGAAAAGGTGCCCAGCCCCACCCACCCCCGGCTGCCCCTGTCCTGTCTGTGGCAGAGAGGCAGGGAGTGGCCTTGTACATACTGGGGATTGGGTTTCATTTGTTTGGTTTGGTTTTTTAAAATTCCATTTTGATATTTTTTTTTTCCTGCTCTGGTTGGTGGTGGCAAATGGGTGAATGAGTATTTAATAAAAGTTCCAAGTTTCCACCTGGGTCCCTCCCTCCCTCCTTTCAGCTTTGGGCCCTGGTTCCAGGGCTGGTCAAATCAGGCTCTTAGCCCTGTGTCCCTGGCACAACCCCATTGAGCCTCAGTGCCAGACCGGTGGGCCTGGCCCACCAGGGGCACAGGTGAGAGGAGGCCTGGATGTAGGAAAGAAAAAGCCCTGAGCAGCTGTGAGTGACTTCCTGCCCACAAATGAGCAGGTGGGCTGCTGGCGGCCAAAGAGCACCAGTAGGACCACTGCTGCCAGGCTCTGGTCGGCTCTCCGGCATTAGCATGGCTGACTGGGGGGAGTTCTGGTTTTTTGTACCTTCCCTCGTGTGCTAGAGAGCCCTTCTAGGCCTGACCACCTCCATATCCACACACTGCACGTGGTCAGCTGCTCCAAGTGGGCAAAGCCCCGCATTGGCGTGGGGGTAGGAGGTGCCTTTGCCAAGATGACTCGGCTGCTCTGGTGCTGAAGCCACAGCTCTGGGGATGCCCACCAAGGTGTCTCAGATCGTGCTGTGGAATCCCAAAGCCACTGCTGGCCCCTAGTGAGAAGTGTGTTGATAGACCAGCCCAGCCCTGGTGAGAAGGGAGGGATGCAGGAGAAGAGACCTGATGGAAAGAAGTCTTTGGGTTCACTCCTCCTGCATGGCAGCATCGCAGGGACTGGGGGTGCCTCTTTGCCTCTCTCCACGGTGATGGCTGTGCCCAGGTCCCTTCCTGCCACCTGGGAATGAAACATTCTCCCCCAGCCTAGGAATCCATCCTCTCCTGGGATGCCTAGCAAGCTTGTTTTGACTCTTGCTACTGGCTTTTTGGAAGCAGAGGCACGCCTTCAGGAAGGAGGGGTGGCACTGTTATCTGAGCAGGCTTCTTCAACATCCATGATTGCTTTTCTCGCAGGGAGTGTGTCCCAGCCCCCCCTCCCCCCAACACATACACACATGCAAGGCTCACCCATGTGTGCTTCAGAAATGCTGCAGTCTTCAAGGCCAGTGGGCCCCAGAGTGGGCAGTGCTCTGAGCTGAGGCCTTTGAGAGCCAAAGCACAGAGGATGGGGAGGCAACAAAGTCATGTGCCAAGTCCGCCAAACCTGGAGAGGTGCCCTGGCCCAGTTCCTCCGCCAACTTTGTGTTGTTGCCTTCGTTTTCTTCCTCCTGGGAGGAGCCCCACCACCACAGTGATGTTAGGTGGCCCTAAAAAACATGCTTTATCCAGGACCTGCTCTGCCTCGCATCCATCCCCAGACCTGACAACTCTGTGAGGTTGGGTACTTTTTCTGTTTTACTTTGACGAAGTTGCTCAAGGAGGTTAACTAACTCATCTAAGGCCTCCTGCCTGGTAAGTGTGGAATTGAGACAGGATACCCCCTAACACCACCCTTCTACAGTCAGGGGGACTTGCTTTTGCCCCCTCAGCAAGCTGCCTCTGGGAGCGCAGGAAGCCCCAGAAGGTTCTGGAGCTGAGGAGGCTTCTGAACGGCCTCATGCCCAGGGAGCTGCACTGAACAGAACCAGAGCTCTGGTCTTCCAGGGTCTGGTGCCGAGGTCCCTTGCAGAGAGTGGGGCCCCTGAGCACTGCTAGAGCAGCAGTCTGGGTCCTGCCAGCACGGGAGCCCCATGCGAGCAGGCAGGTGGAGCTCTTGCTCCGCGCCATGGCCCCTCTGCGGTCTCTGCAGCCGTTTGCATTTCCTGAAACCGGATCTCGGTGTCGGAGCCGCCCCCGGGCCGGGCGGGCACCTCAGCCATGGCCCTGCGCAAGGAGCTGCTTAAGTCCATCTGGTACGCTTTCACCGCACTGGACGTGGAGAAGAGCGGCAAGGTCTCCAAGTCCCAGCTCAAGGTGAGGAGCACCCAGGGCCCAGGGGAGGCCGGCAGATATGCCTCATCAGCCCCTGCAGCCCAGGAGCCAGGCATGAAGGCTGTGCTGCTCCCCGGGCACTCAGCCATCCAGAGGCCCAGGCCTGGGAAGGGGGGGCAGTACTGGGTAAGCTGGACAATGGAGCCTGGTAGATGCTGCTGCCCACATTCTGAGGCCCCAGGGAGGTTATATGCAGAGCTTTTGCCCAGAGCCCTGCCCCCCAACTCTCGGGAGGGTGGAGGTGGCATCATTCGGTTTTGAAGGCCAACAGGCCAGGCGATATCCCATACTCCGTGTGTTGAGCACACGTCTCCCCAGAGTGAGGCTTGGGCATGCACCCTACTCCTTCCTGCTGCTTCCTCCTGGCTTTGAAGAGAGACAGTTAACTAGTAGTTGTCAGTCACTTCCTCCCGGAGCAGAGAGAGAGGCTTAAAGAGCCTCTCCCTGTTCCAAACCAGGCCGACTTGGTCACCTTTGGCAGAGAACAGCTCCTCTGAACCCCGTCTCCCAGGTTCAACAGCACTGGCAAGGGGCAAGGACAGAAACGCTGTTCCGCTGCTGCCCAGCTCACCCCCCTCCTCCCACACACCAGGTTGAGAAACTGTTCCCTTGGCGGTGGGACCTTGGGACCTCAGGTAGGGAGGGGGTGGAATCTGAGCCCAGGAAGAGCTCCATCAGTGGTTGTCCTACGTATGGCTCAGTACTTGGTCCTAGACAATTCCTGGGAGACCAAAAAGTTTCTCTCCTTCCTTCCTCTAGTCCTAGCTTAGTGAGGCCTTCTCCACTCTAGGTAGTGGGAAAAGCAAGGCTCTAGACCACTGGAACCAGGGAACACTGGGAGATCTGGGAGATAGGAACAGGGTAAGCCTCAGCTCTCTGTGACCTGTCTTAAGGGATCGTTCATTCAGTTCACATGTTTACTGAGCAACTATGTGCCTGGCATGAAGCTAGGCCCCAAATTTCTGGTGTCCCTCTGGATGCCCCCAAAGGTGAAATGTAGCCTCGAGGAAACCACCATTCTTAATGATTAAGGTCAGAGGTGCCTGAAAACCTGGGAGAGATGAATGGGGCAGGATAGGCACTATGCCCTACCCCCATTCCAACCCCCTACTTTGCTGAACTTTAATGCAATAAACTTGGGTGTCCCAAACGGGTCCTATCCCACAATCTACCCTTTAGCCAGACTTATGAGCATCCAAAAAAATGATTCTTGATTCCCCCAGGAAAGATAGTCCATTACTACCTTTGATCATCCGGGAGGATTCCTCAACAGGCAGGTTCTTCCTTACATTCTATTTAAATCCTTTTATTGCAGATCATGTCACCTTGGGGGGTGGGGGGGGGGAAGCTTCAGTATAGACAGGAGAAAAGTAGATCATCCAAAATCCATTCCTGGATTTTGCCCTACATCCACCTCCCACTCTCTGTAATATTTTATAGAAACAATCTCAACCTCCATAGTTTGTTGTCTCCAAGATACCATTTTCTGCCTCTCCATTACCTATATAGCTCCTATAACCTCTCCAGGCTATCTATGGAAGGTACAGCCTCAGGTGGGTCCCCTTTTCCTGGCCATTAGCCAATAAGGCTTCCTACCTTGACCTTTTCTTGGCCCCTGGCTGGACCAATGCCCACACCCCATCCCCACAGGTTGGGTGTTTGCAGGGAAAGTTATATTAGGAGCTTACACTGTCTGTATCCCATCACAGCTCAGATTGAGCCCACTGCCAGCAGCCTTTGGCCACACAGAATCAAAGGTAGATTTCTCCCACATGCAACAGAAACCGTGTCCACTCGGGGAACCTGTGCTAGTGGTGAGAGCCTTGGGCCGGGTGGTGGGTGGATCACAAGTGGTAAGGCCCACCTCACACAAGAGAAAGATAGGAAAGGCAGGTTTTTTTCCAAGACCGTAGTGGTGGATACTGGAATAGGAGGAAGTAGTGATAGTGTTGGGGGTGGGGATGCCGGAAAGGCAAAGGAGCAATAGGGAAGTGGTCAGAAGCCGGAGGAAGGAGCAGATGAGAGATATACCAGTGGGGCCAACCCCACCCCTGAAAAGACTTGGGAAAGAAGGGAAAAGGTCTTGGAATTAATCTGTCCTCGCTGACACTGTCCCTGACCTTGGGGTCCTCAGTTGGGACCAGGCCAGAGAACTGAACCAGCCCAGCAAGCTGTGCCTGTCTGTGACAGTCACCACTCCCCTGATGTGTGGGAGAAGGGCTGCCACTGGCTGTCAGCAAGCCCTCTGAGAATCACCCAAGGAGTCAGGATTGTTTTCTCTGGAGAAGAGAAGGCTTGGAGGACAGCAGATGAGCCTTCCTCTCTCTGAATTCTTGTAGAAAGTACAATGGCCTTTGTCCAGTTGAGATGATGAAAGAACAATTAGCCGATATGAATGGCACCGCTGCCCAGGATGGACTTAGATTGAGCACAAAATTTCCCAGGAGTTGAGGCCTCCTCTTCCCCAGGGGAGCAGCCTTGGTTCTTAGCCGAGCAGGGGATTAGCTGAGAACTGGGGGCGAGGGCCTGAGACTGGGGATGTGGATGGAGCAGCAAGTCTCTGGCTCGATGAGATCTTAGGAGGCAGCAGGCCTACTCCTTCCTCTTGACCATCAAGAGCTGCAGTCTTCCCCATTTGGCTCTTTTAGGTCTTCCAGGCTTAAGGCTCCGCCTCAGGAGAGGGACAGCAGCCTTCTTCTCTGTGGAGGGGAGGTTAAGCACAACTCCAGGCCAGGAATCTTTTGGCTGGGATCTTCAGCAGTTTTGTCCTGACCCCTACCCGCTGCTGGTCTCCCCAGCCTAGGATGGCAGCCAGCGGGAGGGTGATTTCGTGGTGTGCAGAGCACTTGACCTAGAGCCACATAGGCCTGGACTTCTGCTCCCCAGCTAGGCGGCCTTGGGCAAGTGACCGCCCCATCTCTGAACTTCTAGTTTCCATCTATAACGCCAGTGGGATGAACTGGAAATCTCCAAGCTATCCAGCTAGATTACTAAAATAAAAAGGGTTTTTTTTCCTACTAAAATAAATTTTAGCAATGTGCATCAAGTAGGTGAAATTGATCCTTGATCCAGCCTCCCTTTCCCCTTTGGTGAGCCTGTCTTCCCTTTGCTGCCTGCCCTCAGCCTAGCCTTTTCTTGCTCTCAGCAGGCGCACAACTCATTCAGAGATTCTCACCTTTCTGAAATCCCCAGCGCTCCTCCCTCCTGATAGTAGTTAGACTTTAGTACCTGCTGGTTGAGAAAAATACATTCGGTGACTCTTAAAAGGATCTGTATACTTTAAAAGTATCGCCTAGCACCGAGACACATTTCAAAAACTATAGGCCATCTAGGAAAGAGATTATTATGGATTCCCAAAGCCCTCATATCTGAGTTCCTGAGTGAAGTATGGGAACTGCAAGACCGTGGGCCCTGGCACCTGCCCCATCCCCACACTTGAGATTTTAGGGAACTCACAAGCCCCTAGAGGGGAACCCATTTCCCCACATGCCTTCACAGGAAACAGTGAGTAAATGAAGCCTCTCAAAGGTCAGTGGCTGCCAACTCAGAGGTCAGAGGTTGCCTGGATTGGGGGGACGAGGCTATGAGAGTCCTCAATGAGGGAGCCTGAGTAGCAGTTTGTGAAAACTACAGACGCCTGGACCCCACCCCTGGAAACTCTGAGTCAGTAAGACTGGGCGGGCCCCAGCATATTTCAGTTTCACCAGCTCCCCAGGTGATTCTGGTGCTCAGCCAGAGCTACTGAGAGATGAAGAGTGGGGTTTTAGGGTCAGGCTTCCAGCAAGATGCTTAACCTCTCTGAGCCTTGATTCCCTCATCTGTAAAAGGAGAATAATGAGAGTCCCTGCCTCCAGGGCCGAGGATTGATTGAAATCAGCCCAGTGAGCTCCTGCGCATTCTGGCCTCCGCCCCTGCTGCCCTGCCGCCGTTTCCTTTCCAGCCTGACCCTCCCCTGGTCACACCCTCTCACCACTTCTAGCCCCAACCAGCCCCCAGGCACAGGAAGCCTGGCAGTCTGAGGTCTACCGAGCTCTCTGGGGGAGAGGCTCCGAGTCCTGAGTGTCTGGAGCCTTAATTGCTTCTGGTCCTGACACCTGACAGCTCACAGGGATCGGAGCCTCTGTCCTGGACCCCTCAGATTCTCCTGGCAAAAGATACAGGTGAGGAAGGTATGTCTCAGAGGACAGTGTGGACGAATGACCCGAAGCGAGAAACAGCTCAAAACAACGGTGTTGCTGTGTGGCAGGTTCTATCCTGGGGTGGGAGGGGTTTCGCACGGCATCTCTTTGAACCCTGTTTTTAGACATATGAAAACTGAGGCCCGGTGAGGTTAATTTGCTCAGAGAGATTCAGTCTGTGTCTGACTGACTTTTGTATTTCTCCCACGTCTTCCCATGAAGCATTTAATTTCATTCAACAGATGTTTGCTCTGTGTCTTATGTGCCCAGTCCGGTGATACAGCAGTGAATGAAACACAAATATCCCCCCGTGGTGGTGCTGCCATCCTAGTTAGAGAATACAGATGATAAAATAAGTAAAAATGTATCATGTGATGGACAATGACACATGACATTAAAGAAAGCAGAAATGGGGATGGGGGGGTTGGGGTAGAGGGCATGGGGTTATAGATTTAAATAAAGTGGTCTGGAGAAGGCCCCCTTGAGAGAGTGACATCTCCGCTAAAGACCGGAAGGAGAAGAGAGTATGTGCCATGTCTGGACCTGGAAGAAGGATGTTCTGGGCTGAAGGGATGGCAAGTGCAAAGGCCCTGAGGCAAGTGTGTGCCTGGCCTGAGGATGTCAAGGGGCCAGAGTGGCTGCAAAAAAGTGAGGAAAGCGATGAAGTCAGAGAAGGTGCAACAGGCCAGGTCATGTGGGGCCTGCGGCCTCTGGGAGGTCTTGCAGTTTTACTCTGAGAACAATGGGAAAGCATCAGAGCGTGTAAGTTAGACTTGAGGATTCAGACAAAAACATTTATCGTGTGGGAGACATGGTACTGAGCTCTGGAATTAGGCCTGAGCTTAGAGCCTTGCTGCCCTCAAGGAATGTAGAACACCCAGAAATGCTCACACAAAAAGGGAATAGCAAATGAATGTCATTATAGACCATCTTAATAACAGGGTACACAAATAACAGTGGTTAATGGCACTCTTTGTTTTTTATCTCTATGGTTTTAAACTTTTGTCATAAAAACATATGCTCTTGGTTAAAAAAAAGAACTCAGAGTGTAGAAGAATATAATTTTAAAGGAGATGAAATTTATGCAAGTAAAACATGTTACTGGTTAAAAAAAATTCAAAAGACAAATGTCAAAGATGATGAAAGTTCCTCCCCTCCCCTGGGGAAGGATGGTGAGGTGATAGCTGTTAACAGTCTGCTGAGTCTTCTAGATTTTTCCTATGTACAAATAAACACATTAGGTTGGGCCGTATGAAATTGCTGACATTTTATTGTTTCAACCTATTAACACTGTAATTTGCTATGGTTCAACCTAATCTTTGCACACATTTATTTTACAAACATTCCACTCTACAGCTTGCTTTTTTCACTAGCCAGTGTATTACACACATCTTTCCATGTGTGTTCATAAAAGCATAATAATAAAAATAACACTCAACTTTTTTTTAATGTTTTATTTATTTCTAGGAGAGAGAGAGAGACAGCGTGAGCAGGGGAGGGTCAGAGAGAGAGGGAGTCACAGACTGAAACAGGCTCTGGCAGTCAGCACAGAGCCCGATGCGGGGCTCGAACCCACGAACTGTGAGATCATGACCTAAGCGAAAGTCGGACGCTTAACCACCTAAGCCACCCAGGCGCCCCAATAACACACAACTTTCATTAAACGATGAACTTTGCACCAGGTGCTATGCTAACCTCTTCATTCTAAAAAAAACCTTTGGAAATTTGTTTATGTTAATTTATGTTGAGAGAGATAGTGTGAGTGCAGGAGGGGTTGAGAGAGAGGGAGACAGAGCATCCCAAGGAGGCTCTGTGCTGCCATCACATACCCCAATGCAGGGCTTTAACCCACCAAACCATGAGATCATGACCTGAGCCAAAACCAAGAGTCAGATATTTAACGGACTGAACCACCCAGGCACCCCTGGGAATTTTTTAAATATTTATTTTGTTTTTATTTTTATTTTTTTTAGAGAGAGAGACAGCTTGAGCAGGGGAGGGTCAGAGAGAGAGGGAGATACAGACTCTGAAATAGGCTCCAGGCTCTGAGCTGGCAGTCAGCACAGAGCCTTACGTGGGGCTCGAACCCATGAACTTTGAGATCATGACCTAAGCGAAAGTCGGACGCTTAACTTTCTAAGCCACCCAGGCGCCCCTATTTATTTTATTTTTGAGAGAGAGACAGAGCACAAGCTGGAGAGGGACCGAAAGCAAGAGACAGAGAGAGAGTTTCAAGCAGGGAGCCAGGGCTCCATCTCATGAACTGTGAGCTCATGACCTGACCTGAGCCAAAATTGAGTCGGATGCTTAACCAACTGAGGGCACCCAGGCGCCCCTAAAACACCTTTTGGAGTGGGCCCCCTTATTATTCTCACAGAGGAGATAAGGTCTTAGAGATGTTAAACCACTTGCCCATAAGCACACAAGTGGCAGACGTAAACTCTTTCCAACCACACATAGGTCCACAGCACCGTGTACCTGTCCCCCTACTGAAGGCTCCTAGCTGTTTCCAGTTCCTCATATTATGGACAGTGCTTCAGTGAACATTCTTGTACACGTAGCTCTGTTCCTTTGGGCATCTATAGGTTAGATGATTAGAAATCTGGGGGGCATGCCCAATTTTAAGTTTGATAGGTTCTTGCCCTCCAGAGTGATTAATTCACACCTCAGCAGTAGAGCATTCAATTCCTTATTTCTCCACAGCCTCTTCAGTACCAGATAGTATCAGTCAGAAGATCTATGTAAATATGTGAGATAAAGAAATTGCCCTTTTGGGGCACCTTGGTGGCTCAAGGTGGGTTAAGCGTCCAACCTCGGCTCAGGTCATGATCTCATGGCTAGTGAGTTCAAGCCCGGCACCAGGCTCTGTGTTGACAGCTTGGAGCCTGCTTCGGATTCTGGGTCTCCCTCTCTCTCTGCTCCTCCCCTGCTCGTGCTCTGTCTCTCAAAAATAAATAAACATTAAAAAAAAATTTTTTTTTAACTGCACTTTCCATGCAGGAAGAGAACTAACATTAGCTCTGTGCGGACCTAACTCTGGCACTCTCCATAATCCTTTCCATCCTCACAGCCTCTCCGCGTGACAGTTGTTATCCCATTGTTTTTATACAGTGAAACTGAGGCGTAGAGGGTGAAGGTGTATATGTACCTTCTAGCAGTTTAACAAATTCCATAGAAAGAGTAGACCTCTCTGCACTAGAGAAAGCCCAAATCGTACGGCTGATTTTCATTGGCCCAGGTTTGGTCACGTGCCCTTCCCTCAGCCAGTCACTGTGACTCTGCTGTGCCGCCCCTGCCTCTACGTCAGGACATGGTGCAGGTGGTCAATTACCACAGATGTTGAGGATGGGGGAGAGGTGCTTCTCAAAGAAAAATCAGGGCCCCATTACCAAATAAAGGTGAAGAGGGCAGAGTTCATCAGAAAGAAACGTTAAGATGTCCTCTAGAACAAGAGAAGCAAAACCAAAGATGGCACAGGAGATGGTTTGAAGAGCATGGGAACCGGTTGTGGCGGGGGACAGGGATGGCTGCCCAGAGGGGAAAAGAGAAACACCCTCTTGCTGGGCCTTCCAATTTCCCTCTGCTGAGGCGAGCCTGAGGCCCAGCAGAATACTGGGGGAAAGTGTCAATCCTTTGTTCCCACCTCCTCTCACAAGAGAATAAAGAAGTGAAGACTTGGCAAACGTGTCATCCCTGGGATGTTGCCAGCTCCTGACTCGGGACCTCATCCTAAGTTTAACTGTTGGTGGGTAGAAGCAGCCCTTATATACAGCATTTGTTGACTGCCCTCGGTGTGCAAAAGACGACATAGGGGCTGGGTGGTAGAGATGAACAGAGCATCGTCTCCAGAGTTTGCCTGGAGAAAGAGTCTCAGGGCCAGTATTTTAATAGGGAGGCAGCCTTCAGAGCCAGGGACACCTTGTTCAGGCCCCAGCTCGGCCATTTACTTCTCCAAGGCTTAGCATCTTCATCTGAAAAACAGGGTTAATTATATCTGGGTATCACAGTTGTGGATTTTAGACGTGGGGTATAGAAAGCACCTCCAATAGCAGCTGCCAGGTAGGAGGTGTGCAGTAATGACTATTTTAATCATTCCCTCTGTGATAAGTGCTATCACAGAATTACCCCGAGGTAGTTTTATTCTTTTCTGCTATTGTTCAAACTTCAGCCTCTTTGTTCTTATATCGTGGGTTTGTTAGCCAACCAGTGTTTCCCCTCCACACCACCGTGGCCACCATCCCTTCTAGGCCTTTTCCTCTGCATGTCACAGACTTTTCATGGCCCTTCTTTTAGTGCTCTCCAGCTCCCTTCCATCTTTGAAGGGCGGTGACGGGAACTGCACTTGCCTTTCCCTGAGCTAGGCACACAGCAGCCCGAACACTGAGTCTTTGATGGAAATGATGAGAAATTCAGGGCTTCTGCCCTGGTGTGACAGCCACCTCCCTGCTGATAGCCCAGTGTCCTGGGAAGCACCTGGGCTTTCGGATCTTCAGAGCTGGATTTGAATCCCAGGCTCTTGCTTACTGTGAATCCTTGGGCAAGTTATTGAGTCCCTTGAGCCTCTGTGTCCTTGTCCATAGAAAGAAGACATCCCTACCTAACCTGTAAAATGGGGACATAAACAGTTGTTATGGGGGTTAAATGAATTATGTGTAAAGTACTTCGCCCAGCGCTTAGTGCATAGTAAGGGTATAAGTTTTAGGTTTCTTTGTTTTTTGTTTTTTATTGAAGTATAATCGTCATGTAACATTATATTAGTTTCAGGCATACAACATGATGATGCGATATTTGTATATATTGTGAAATGATGACCACAATGTCTAGTTAACATCTGTCACCATATATACTTACACAACTTTTTTCTTGTAATGAGAATTTTTAAGATCTACTCAGCAACTTTCATATATGCATGAAGTATTATTAACTATAGTCTCCATGTTGTACATAACATCCTCATGACTTATTTTATAACTGGAAGTTGTACATATTGACCCCCTTCACCTACTCCACCCACCTCCCTACCCCTGTCCCTGGCAACCACCAATCTGTTTTCTGTGAGCTTGCAGGGGAGGGACTGTTTGTTTTTTAGATTCCACATATAAGTGAGATCATATGGTATATACTTTTCTCTTATTTCACTTAGCATAGTGCCCTCAAGGTCCACCCATGTTGTCGCAAATGGCAAGATTTCCTTCTTTTTTTTTTTTTTTTTTTTTTACGGCTGAATAGTATTCCATTATCTATAAATACATAAGTTTTAGTTACGATTGAATTGAATCATTGAATGTGCAGAAGACCTAGGTGGGATGGGAATGGGGACAGAGGAAGCAGTTCTCTGGGCCAGTTTTGGTTGGGGCACAGGAAGGCAAACTGCCACTCTGTCTCAGGTGCTGTCCCACAACCTGTACACGGTCCTGCACATCCCCCACGACCCTGTGGCTCTGGAGGAGCACTTCCGAGACGACGATGATGGCCCCGTGTCCAGCCAGGGATACATGCCCTACCTCAACAAGTACATCCTGGACAAGGTGGGGGCTAGCTTGAGGGGGCACCTCTAACCTTTCCCCACTCCCCAGTCTGGCCAGCACCCCAATACACTGCCACCCCAACTCCTCCCACCTATAAACTCCCGCCTCTTTCCCCACTGTCCATCCCTGCCCTTCCATCTCCGCCCTTCACCTTCCAGCCCCCTGCCCTCCCCCTGCCTCCCTTAACTCGCCCTCCATCTCCCTCACCTCTATCCCAGCCTCCACCCTTCCACCCCATGCCTGCCTAGGCTCACCCCCCATTTCCAGCTGTAACCTTTACAGAAAGCTCTCCAGCCTCCCCCAGTGCTGTGCCCCCTGCTCCTCCCAGCTCTCACTCTCTTCTCTTCTTGACTGTCCATCCCCTCCTTGGCCTCCCCTTGTTTCTCCCCTGGGCTGAGGGGCTACAGTTTCTCTGTTGGCAGAGAACTTGGGTGGGTGTGGATTGGTGGTGGGGGCGGGGGGGTGGAACCAGCTAGTTACCTGGTAAGTAGCTCAGGGATTCCTCAAGTTAGAGCCCCAACTTGGCAAGGCAGGGAACATGGGAATAGGTGACCCCAAGAAAGCTGCTAGAGGCTTGTTTGGTGGTAGAGCAGGGATGGGGCGGCCATTTGGACTGACACGCAGGCCTGGTGGCAGGTGGAGGAGGGGGCTTTTGTTAAGGAGCACTTTGATGAGCTGTGTTGGACGCTGACGGCCAAGAAGAACTATCGGGTAGACAGCAACGGGAACAGCATGCTCTCCAATGAGGATGCCTTCCGCCTCTGGTGCCTCTTCAACTTCCTGTCTGAAGACAAGTACCCTCTGATCATGGTTCCTGATGAGGTGAGGGTGATGGCAGCCCCAGGGACTGAATCACTGGGGCCAGGCCTCAGCAAAACCATGAAGGAGGCCAAGTCACCTCTGCAGTTTTCCCACAACCCCTTTCTTCTTGGTCTTCCCATGTTTGCCTGCCTGCCCCCAGCCGTCCCCAGATGCCTAGAATTGCCCGTATCAGAATAATTGTGCCATCCCCCAGGAGAACCAAAACTACACTTCCTTCAAAGCTCTGTTAACCCTCAAAGTAGGAAAATGACCTGTAGATTCTATTTACACAGAGCTGTAAATGCCTGATACCTTACTGGGCATTTAAAAATGAAAACCATTTAAGATCAAATGGCAGGATTTAAGGCACCGTAGCAGTCTGAGAAGGGTACTATATGAGAGGAAGGGAGACTTTTCTGGGATAGTTGTCCAATTACCCCAGGGGGGCAACCAAATCTGGCTCTGGTTCTGATTTTTCCTTTCCTGTCTTCTGTAATATAGGGGACGGCCCAGGGCCGACCCAACTCAGGGCTCCAGAGGGGGTATGCTGGGAGTAGAGGTCCCTACGGCCTCAACGCAAGCCCGCCCCCCCACCCCCCCGCCCAGTTCCCACCTCTCTCCCCCATCCGTTCAGCCTTCTCCTAACCTTTTGGTGGCTGTGAAGATGCCAGGGTCAATTTAGGTCTTAAGGTATAGAGGGGAGGGGTCCTCTATGTTTACAAGTCCTGGCACATCTAACTTCACTCAGATTTATCTCCTTGCTTCTGTGGGAAGGGTGAGGGAGATATCCAGTCCCTGAACTGGTGCCCCCCACCCCACTCCCAGCTGAGACCCAGGAGCCTCCAGAGCAAGAGAGTTTCCTAAGAAGCTGCTGGGGCAAGAAAGGGACATGTGTCTCTGTACACACCTGGTTTGGCATCCTTGTCAGACTCCTGTCAGGGCCAGGTGGCCCCTCATTGGCCAGAAGGCTGCTCGCTGCTGTGATCAACGTGTATGAACAAACTGCAGCAGGATGTACCCCAACCACCACTTCCTGTTCCTCTGTAGCAGGTTTCCTGTCCCTGCCCTGCTTACCCCCACCCCCAATCCCCTTGACATCTATAGGGGAAGGATCCTCTGGGTTGGGGCCTGGGCTTGGAATAAGGACTCAGATGGGATTCAGGAGATCTGAATCGAGTTCTGGCTGCCACCAACTTGCTGTATGATTTAGAACAAGTCACTTCCCCCTTTGGGCCTCGGTGTTGTCATCTGCAAAGTAAGGGTATTGGACGAGAGGGATCCTTGCACCCCCTCTGATGTGTTCTAGGACTTGCTGCCTCTGCCTGGCCCCCAGCCCTTGGCCTTCACCCTGCCCGTAATTTAAAGCATGAAGGAGTGGGACGTGGGACTGGAGGTTCGGGAGGAGAGAGGGATGACTGGATTGAGGTTGGGGCTCCAAGATCCCCTCCCAAATATACCCTGGTTTCCACCAATATTTAGTCCTCTGGCTCCTCACTCCCTGTGCCTGGTCGTCCCGTCTAGGCCCTGTGGAGCCAGAGGGGGGGCCTCCTGGACTGTCGCAGGCAACACTGCCTGGGGCAGCCACCAGGCTTCCCTTCTCCTCCAGGTGGAATACCTACTGAAGAAGGTGCTCAGCAGCATGAGCTTGGAGGTGGGCTTGGGAGAGCTGGAGGAGCTGCTGGCCCAGGAAGCCCAGGCAGCCCAGACCAGCGGAGGGCTCAGCGTCTGGCAGTTCCTGGAGCTCTTCAACTCGGGGCGCTGCCTTCGAGGTGTGGGGCGGGACACTCTCAGCATGGCCATCCACGAGGTCTACCAGGAGCTCATCCAAGATGTCCTGAAGCAGGTCAGGCCAAGCTGGGAACTGGAGGAGGACCCCCAGGTGGGGTGGGGGGTGGGAGGGTGCCAGTGAAGCCTCTGACGTGGCTCTGGCTGGCAGGGCTACCTGTGGAAGCGAGGGCACCTGAGGAGGAACTGGACAGAACGCTGGTTCCAGCTGCAGCCCAGCTGCCTCTGCTATTTTGGGAGCGAAGAGTGCAAGGAGAAACGGGGTACCATCCCACTGGACGCACAGTGCTGCGTGGAGGTGAGGGACACAGGTGAAGGGGTGAGGCATAACTCAGGGCCCAGAGGGGTGCCCACGGGGTGTAAAGGCAAGGGGGTCAGGAGGAGGGAGAACGGAGACAAGCCACAGTGACAAATTTCTGCTTAGATGAATGTAACCCAAATATACCCAGCGACCTCAAGGCCATTCTCATCCATGGCAGCACTTAAGCAAACAAACAAACAAACAAAAAAAAAAAAACCCCAAACTGCAAATACTAAAGTCACTGCTGAGTAATGTGAATTTTGCTAATGGTTTCAGAAGAGAAGGCTTATGTCTCACACTACACAGCCAATCGTTTTAGGAATCCTCTCGCAAAGTGTTTCTGCTTCACCCAACTTCCACTCCCTTTGGCAACTCTAAACCTCCCTCATCTTTCTTTTTTTTATTTTTTTTATTTTTTTAATTTCCATCCAAGTTAGGTAGCATATAGTGCAACAATGATTTCAAGAGTAGATTCCTTAATGCCCCTTACCCATTTAGCCCATCCCCCCTCCCACAATCCTTCAGTAACCCTGTTTGTTCTCCATATTTAAGAATCTCGTATGTTTTTGTCCCCCTCCCTGTTTTTATGTTATTTTTGCTTCCCTTCCTTTATGTTCATCTGTTTTGTATCTCTCTCATCTTTCCCCAGATCTCCCCTTTCCATCTCTTGGCTCTGTCCATTATTATTTTAGAGGCTTAAAACAATTATTTAAATTGCAGTAAAAAAAAGGGGGGGTGGGCATCTGGATGGGTCAGTCGATTGAGTGTCTGACTCTTGATTTCCGCTCAGGTCATGATCTCATGGTTCGTGGGTTCAAGCCCCCAGTTGGGCTCCGTGCTGGCAGTCTAGAGCCTGCTTAGGATTCTCTCTCTCTCTCCCTGTCTCTCTCTCTCTCTCTCTCTCTCTCTGCTTCCCCCTCAAAATAATTAAATAAACTTTAAAAAAGTATAGTAAGGGGCATCTGGGTGGCTCAGCTGGTTGAGCATTTGACTGCAGCACAGGTCATGATCTCAGGGCTTGTGAGTTTGAGCCCTGTGTTGGGCTCTGTGCTGACCTCAGAGCCTGGAGCCTGCTTCGGACTTGGTGTCTCCCTCTCTCTCTGCCCCTCCCCGACTCATGTTTTCTCTCTCTCTCTCACTCTCTTTCTGTCTCACTCTTTCACAAAAATCAGTAAACATTAAGGTTTTTTAAATTGTAGTAAAAATACATATATAATCATGAAATTTGTCATTTTAACCATTTTAAGTGTACAGTTCATAGCATTATGTACAATCACAATGTTGTGTAACCATTACCACTATTTCCAAAACTTTTTCATCATCCCAAACAGAAACTCTCTACCCATTAAGAAAGAACTCATCCGGGGCGCCTGGGTGGCTTAGTCGGTTAAGCGTCTGACTTTCGCTTGGGTCATGGTCTCACGGTTCGTGGGTTCGAGCCCCGCGTCGGGCTCTGTGCTGACTGCCAGCTCAGAGCCTGGAGCCTATTTCGGAGTCTGTGATTCCCTCTCTCTCTGACCCTCCCCTGCTCACGCTGTCTCTCTCTCTCTCCTAGAAATAAATAAAACATTAAAAAAAAAAAAGAAAGAAAGAACTCATCCCTCCCCCTGACCCGCCCCTGCTAACCTCTATTCTACTTTTTGTCTATAAATTTGCCTGCTGTAGGTACCTGGAATCCTATATTGGTACCCTTTGTGACTGGCTTTTTTTACTCAGCGTAATGTTCCAAGGTTCATCCATGCTATGGCATGGGTCAGAACTTCACTCCTTTTTATGGCTGAATAATATTCCATTGTGTAGACAGACCACATTTTGTTTATCTACTCCTTCTTTAACGGACAATGGGTTGTTTCTGTCTTTTTGCTACTATGAATAATGCTGGTTTGGACATCCATGCAGAAGTTTCTGGGTAGGCATATGTTTTCACTCCTCTGGGTACACACTGAGGGGTAGAATTGCTAGATCATATGGTGATGTTATGTTTAATTAAAAAAATTTTTTTTAATGATTTATTTATTTCTGAGAGAGAGAGGCAGTGTGAGCAGGGGAGGGTCAGAGAGAGAGGGAGATACAGAACATGAAGCAGGCTCCAGGCTCTGAGCTGTCGGCACAGGGCCTGACGCAGGGCTCGAACCCACGAACCGTGAGATCATGACCTGAGCCAAAGTTGGACGCTTAACAGACTGAGCCACCCAGGCGCACCCCCTCCACCCCATGTTAACTTTTTAAGGAATAAGAGCACCTGGGTGGCTCAGTTGGAATAGCCAAATTATTTTCCATCGCAGCCATACTATCTTAGATTTTCACCAGCCGCATATGTGGGTTCCCCTTTGTCTACATCCTTCTCATCAACATTTGTTATTTTACATTTTTAAAAATCATTATTATAACCATCCTAGGCTCTACCCATTTTTTGTCACATAAGGAAACAGGTGTTACTGAGGCCAGAGCATAAATCTGGGCAGAAAGCTGAGCCCCTCCCCTCCCCCCCCCACTAACAGGCAGTGTGAATTGGGCACACTCTTGGACCTGTGAGAGCCTCAGTTTCTTTTTCTGTAAAGTGGAGCCAAGAATGCCTGCCTGGCAAGGTGGTTTGGGACACGTGAAAAAATGATGCATATATAACACTAGTACAGTCTCTAGAGCATAAGAAGTTCAATATGTGGTAGCTGTTATTTTCCACTCGAATATAACTTAGGGAAGGCAGGGATTTGGTCTGTTAGGCACACCTCAGTATCCTGAATGCCTGGAACAGTGAGCCGCTGTCAGTAGACACTCCAAAATGTCTGTAGAACGAATGAATGGAGAACTTTCTCAACAGGCAGGGCTATGTGAAAATGAATGATTTGGATAGTGAGGACCCTGTCACAGGAGTTGTTCCAGAAGGATCTGCCAAAGCACTCAGTAATGGACTACATGCTAGGCCCCATGGAGAGATACCAAGATGAAAACAGCCCCACCCTACCTCCAAAGAGCAGGGGCCACAAGAGTTATGCGGACACAAGTACGCCCCTGACTAACCCCCATGCGAAGCCATCTAGGGCCCGGCAGAGTAGAAGCGGTGCCCAGGGTGGGTGGTCAGCAAGGACTGGTAGGGGATGGAGCTGGAGCGTCTATGCGGCTTGTGTGGCCCTGACCCCAGTGAGGCCAGCCTATCTGGGTCCACCTGCCCTTTCCCAGGTGCTGCCCGACCGAGAGGGGAAGCGCTGCATGTTCTGTGTGAAGACGGCCTCCCGCACGTACGAGATGAGCGCCTCAGACACGCGCCAGCGCCAGGAATGGACAGCTGGTGAGTGCTCGCGGGGTGGCTTGGGTCGCGTCCACAGTGAAAAGGGGGATGTGACACTGCCCAGCGGGAGGCCGGAGACTGACTCGAGCAACTCCTAAGGCCCCTTTCGGGAGGCGGACCGCCCCGAGGACCCCGCTGCCCCCGGATGGCCCCCTGCTGACCCCCTCCCTCTCCCGCCGCAGCCATCCAGACCGCGATCCGGCTGCAGGCGGAGGGGAAGACGTCGTTGCACAAGGACCTGAAGCAGAAGCGGCGCGAGCAGCGGGAGCAGCGGGAGCGGCGCCGGGCAGCCAAGGAGGAAGAGCTGCTGCGGCTCCAGCAGCTGCAGGAGGAGAAGGAGCGGAAGCTGCAGGAGCTGGAGCTGCTGCAGGAGGCGCAGCGCCAGGCCGAGCGCCTGTTGCAGGAGGAGGAGGAGCGCCGCCGCAGCCAGCACCGCGAGCTGCAGCAGGCGCTCGAGGGCCAGCTGCGGGAGGCGGAGCAGGTGGGGCCCGCAGCCGGCGGGGGACCGCGAGCGGAGAGATGCCGGGACTTGGCTCAGGAGCGGAGGGCCGGGGGCGGGGCCTGGGCCGGGGGCGGGGCCCGCGGGCTGATGGAGGCGGGGCTTGGAATGAGGGCCTTGGAACGGAGCCCGTGCGCCCTGCTTGGTGCTCTGAAACCGGCGTGTGGGACTCGGCCGGTGCCGGTGGGGGTGCGGGAGGAACCTGGCCTCGGGATGGCTGGAGAAGGCAGATGGGGCGGAGCTGGAGCTGAGTGCTGGAGCTGAGTGCTGTAGGTGTAGAGTGGGGCCTGGTTTGGACACCTTGGCTGGAGGCGGGGCTTGGACAGAGGAGCGGCTAAAGACCCCGCGGTTGGGGATGAGTTTGGACCAACGCTGGACTAGGCTGGACTAGACTCGATCTAAGTTAACAGTGGAACCAGTTCGGGGAACGCAGGGTGGGAGGAAGGAGGGACGAATGCGGAGGCGGACTAGGCATGTAGGTGCAATTAGATACAGGCTTTAAGAGATGTAGAGCTGGAGATAGACACCTGGAATCAATCCACCTCTGCCCCTTAGGAGCCTCATGATCTCAGGCAAGTTAGTTAGCCTCTCCGTGCCTCAATCACTTACCAGTGACATGTTGGTGCTACCAGAACTGTGCTCATAGAGGTATGGTGAGGATCAAGTGAGGAAGCACCTTGTGTTGTTGTAACAATTATTATCATTATAGTCACTCCCTTCTAGCACTAGCCCTAATTATAGTTATAATGCCTAATAGTATAACACATAATACTAATTATTAAGGCTGGTGCTAGGCAGGGGGTGACTTGAGCCCCTTCCTCTCATGTAGCATCTATTCACTGACCATTGTCTGACCTAGTGAGGCTACCGGAAAGGGGTCAGATCAGGAAACCCCAACATGAAGGAGCCCCCCCAGACCCTCACCCGGAGACAGCTGGTTGGGCCAGCCTAGCGGAGGCACGCGTGCGGCCTTCCCTGCCCCGCGCCGGCCCCCGTGCACCTGGCTCTGTGTCCCCGCGCAGGCCCGGGCCTCCATGCAGGCCGAGATGGAACTGAAGAAGGAGGAGGCTGCCCGGCAGCGGCAGCGCATCCAAGAGCTGGAGGAGATGCAGCAGAGGCTTCAGGAGGCCCTGCAACTGGAGGTGAAAGCGCGGCGGGATGAGGAGGCCGTGCGCCTGGCGCAGACCAGGTAGGACCGAGCAGGGCCCCTCCCGGCCCCCCTCCCCGACTCCCCCGCGTCCCGCCGGCCGGGCACCCGCGAGGCGCATGAGCCGTGGAGATGACACCGTGTGCGCCCGGCAGACTGCTGGAGGAGGAGGAGGACAAGCTGAAGCAGCTGCTGCAGCTGAAGGAGGAGCAGGAGCGCTACATCGAGCGCGCGCAGCAGGAGAAGCAAGAGCTGCAGCAGGAGATGGCGCTGCAGAGCCGCTCCCTGCAGCGAGCCCAGCAGCAGCTGGAGGAGGTGCGGCAGAACCGGCAGAGGGCCGACGAGGACGTGGAGGTGAGGCCCGCGGGGGCAGAGGGTGGAGGCTGGCGGGGGGAGCGCCTTAACCTGCAGGATCCCGGGCCTTCGCTGAAACCCCGACTCTGCCCCTTCCTGGCCTTGTGACCTCAGGCCGGTTGCCTGACCTTTCTGAGTTTCAAGTCCTTCTCCCGGGAAAGGGGACGGGTCACAGCGTTGTTAGGAAGACTAAATGAGACGATAGGCGGTGTCTCGTACGTAGCAGGTGCAGAGGGAACATTAGCTGCTGTTTTCACCATGATGACTGATCTGCGCAAAATGTATTCCTCCTACTCTGCCAAGCCCCTACCTTGCTGTCCCTGTAAATTGGCTCTAACCTCCCATGAAGAGGGATTATTATCGTTGTTGTTCTTCTTTTAAAATTTTTGATGTTCTTATTAATATTATTTTATTCGCTTTGTTGGCTGACATGGTCATAGGAAAAAATTTGAACACAGAAATAGGGAACATGGGAAGGGAAAGTTCCTCTGTGATTCCCTCACCCTACAACCACTGCTAATGGCTTGGGTGAGCAGGGGAGCAAGCTTTTACATTAGGTCCTACAGAGGTGGTATGGTGCGGTGGTTTAAAGCTCAACGTCGGTCCCGGGCAAGTCACTTAACCTCTTGACCTTCTTTGTTCACTTCTGCTCTGGAGGTTAACTAAAATAATAAAATACTTGGCACATCTTAGCTGCTTAATGAATGGAAACTATAATCGTGATTGGTTTTGACCCTTTGGGGACCCATGAGACCCCTGAAACCGGGAGCCAACTCTGTCCACATATATAACTCTTTATGAACATGCTGAGTTTTCCTGGGGAGATGATCACTAGCCTTTGTCAGATTCTAAGGGGCCTGCGAACCTGAAAAGGTCAAGGCACCCTGTCTAGGATGGTGTCTCTGACCCACTCCCCACTGGCCCTGTCCCCCCCAAGGCTGCCCAGAAGAAGCTGCGCCAGGCCAGCACCAACGTGAAACACTGGAATGTTCAGATGAATCGGCTCATGCATCCAATTGAGCCCGGAGGTAGGAAGGGGTAGATCCTGGAGTTTTCTCTGGAGTGGGGAGGGGGTGGGGAGGGAGAAAGGGATACTTCCAGATCTACAGAGTCCACAGGAGGTTGAAAGTCAGGAGGTTCTCCTTTACCCCAAGGGCCTGAGGCAAGGCCCCTCAACCCCTCCCCTTTGCACACACCTTTCTCCTTACTCACGTCTGCCTTTTCTCTGCTAGACAAGCGTCCCACCACCAGCAGCTCCTTCACAGGCTTCCAGCCCCTTCCACTTGCCCGACGTGACTCCTCCCTAAAGCGCCTGACCCGCTGGGGATCCCAGGGCAACAGGACCCCCTCACCCAGCAGCAGTGAGCAGCAGCTGAAGTCCCTCAATGGTGGGGAGGAGGCTCCCATCTCGGCTTCCACCCCTCAGGAAGATAAACTGGACCCATCACCGGAAAATTAGCGTCTGCTACCCCCTCCCCACCCCCAACCTCATACCCATGAGAACCTGGCCACAGCTGGCCTGTGGGTGATGCCATTCGCTGCAGAAGAGGGAGCTGAGGACCTGGTGCCAGGAGCCCAGGCCCTCCCACCATGAAACAGTCCAGAATGGAGCCTAGTTTATTTTTGGCACCAGCCCCAGGCCCCTGACCACGGAGGCTGTCTGGTTGTTGATCCTTGAGAACTTGATCCTGTGCCTTAACCCCAAGGACCCCATGCCCTGGGATGGAAAAGAGAGGAAGCAAGCAAGCAAGCCAACGGCATGTGCCCTCAGACTGCCACCAAGCTGTAGAGGCACATTTCTAAATAAAAACTGCCCTTGGAATGAATCCTTGATCAGGTCTGACATCCATCTTCCCTGCCACATCCTCTCTTCCTTCCTCAAGTCCAGGTGTAGGTCTCAGAAGGAGTGAAGTGGAGTGCAGTGGCTAGGAAAGTACACTCTGCCACTTACTAACTGGGCGACCTTGGTCAGGTTTGCTCACCTCCCTGTGTTTCAGTTCCCAAGTTGGTAAAACAGGAATAATAATAATACGCACCTTATAGGGTTGTTGTGATGATTAAGTGCTCGGCACAGGAGCAAGGACTATTATTAGTGTCACCCAAAAGTGTTTATTGAGCATCTATTCTATGCCCCACAACTTCCCTGCTGTTTAATTCTCATGGCAACCCTGAGAGGCGGGTGTTATTATTCTCATTTTACAGCTGGAGACATTGAGGCTCAGAGAGGTCAGGCAACTTGCCCAAAGGCTTCCAAACTTGCTTCTTTTCCCATATTATTGGACTCACTGACCTTGTCATCTAAGACAGAGATCTGGGAATCTAGGATACTCCCTTCCTCTCATCCCCCTCATGCAAAACCATCATGAAATGTGGTCAGCTCTGCTTTATTCTCTCATAGCTGTCAGTCCGCCTCCATGGCCACGGCTGCTGCTGTGGCTAACCTAAGGCCTTTGTCTCCTCCTGCGTGCTCACCTTTGACTCTTTCTCCATCTTGCCCCCTATCTAATCAGTCTCTGAGTCCAACTGATTGGATTTTCTTGATCACTCTGAAACCACCCTCTTGGGGCCATGTCTTATCCAAGGCTACTGCCCTACTCTGGCTCTCCTCCCCTCCCAACTGGACAAGAGCAGTAATGGGTCTCCTTGATAATCCTTTTCCCCATGGCTGCTTGAATGACTTTCTGAAATGCAGATCTGCCCTTGGCTCTTCCCACCCTCTACTTTCAGTGGGAATCCAGGATGACTTGCTCCCTCCTTTTCATCTCCCTCATGCAAACCTCAAGCTCATAGCTAGATTCTCCTTCATTCTCTCATAGCTATCCCTCCCTCTCTGTGGCCATGGCTACTGGCATGGTGGCTAAAGCCTTTGTCTCCTCCTCCTGCGTGCTCACCTTTGACTCCTTCTCCATCTTGCCCATATCTAATCAGTCAAGTCAAGTTCACATTCCCTTATGTGGCACATGAGGCCTGTGCCGACTAGCCCAGGAAAGCCTCCTAGGCCTCTACTTTACAGATCTGCTAACAGCTCCCTCCTTTCTCTTCTTGGGGCCTGCACTCTGGCCATCGTTCCCCCCTTACTTCACATAACAACTTCCATAACTAGATGCATGAGTTCCTTGAGAGCACAGATGTGTCTTCTTCAACTTATGTCCCCGGTGCCTAGTATAGTGCGTGGCTCTTAGCAAGCATGCAACAGTGTTTGTTGAATGATTAAATTCTAAAATGAATGACTGGGTGTCATACAGCTTTCAAAGTGATGAGGTAGCTAAGATTCAAACTGAAGTCCATTCATTTATTCAATGAATTATTCATTAAGCTCCCATAGGCCAGGTATCATGCTAGGTGCTGGCTATACAGCATAGAACCAAACAAGAGAGGGTCCCTGCCCTCCTGTAGCTTAAGTGCTCTCTGAGATCAGAGTTTATATCCTTTGCAGGTACACCAAACTCTATTGCAAGGAACTTCATTATAGTCTATTTAAAGTGCCATGAAACAAAACTACCAGTATAGCATGGTACACATTTCAGGAATGGGAAGTGAGTTTCAATAAGTGCAGTAGAAATTCAGAAGAAAAGGAAGCACTAGGTAGGAACTGGGATTCACAATGGCCCTTAAATTTTTTACTTTTCTTTTTAAGTTTATTTATTTTTGTGAGACAGAGAGTGAGAGCAAGCACACAGGGGAAGGGGAGGGGCAGGGAGAGAGAATCTCTGCTGACAGCGTGGAGCCCCACTCAGGGGCTGTCTCACAAACCTTGAGATCATGACCTGAGATGACCAAGAGTTGGACACTTAACTGACCTGAGACACCCAGACTCCCCAGCCCTTAAAAGTATTAATAAGAAAGGAAGGCAGGAGGGGTGCCTGGGTGGCTCCGTTGGTTGGGCGTCCAACTTCAGCTGAAGTCATAATCTCATGGTTTGTGAGGTGGAGCCCAGCGTCAGGCTCTGCTGACAGCTCGGAGCCTGGAGCCTGCTTCGGATTCTGTGTCTCCTTCTCTTTCTGCCCCTCCCCCACTTGTTCTCTCTCTCTCTCTCTCTCTCTCTCTCTCTCAAAAATAAATAAACATTAGAAAATTTTTTAAAAAAGGAAGGAAAGCAAGAGAACATGGAAACAAGGTAAGTAGAACATCTGTGAGCACAAGAAGTCTGGATTCTGGACATCGGACGGGAGGCTCAATCATCCTTTAATTGGAGTGAGGTGTCTCTAGGGTATAGTGAATTTTAAGAAAACCAACGTGTAGATCCTCAACTTCCAAGTGGTCTCTTTACCAAAACTCCTCCCTCCTTCACAGTGTTGACTTCCCTACTTTCAGTAACAAGGGTCACCACTCACTCACCCACTGTCTTTCAGTGGCGACTCCCCAGAGGGGTAAACGCCCTGGAACCCTGAACAAAGCAACGATTTGCAAAGCTGGTGGTGACTGTGGGTGCTGAGGAAATGAATGGCTCAAAAGCTGGACAACAAATTCTTTTTGTTTTCAAGTCAGGAGGTTTCTAAATCTTTGCTTTCAAAACCTAGAAGGACTTAATTGCATCGTCAGCTGAAAAATCATTAACAATCTCTTTTTATAATAGATCTTTGTGATTTTTTTTTTGAAAACAACTGAGATTTAGATGCCACTGCTCTATTAAAACTCTCAGTTCCCATCTACTTATTAATATGAACAAGGTTTCTCAGCTTAAAAATGAAAACATGGGCCTGGAAGTGATGCTGAATGCAGTATTCCTGCAGTAAGTCATATTCAACTATAAACATACAAACTACCTGGGGGGTGGGGGGGAAGCAGCCCATTTATTCATTAAGAAATACATTTCCGGGGGGCACCTGGGTGGCTCAGTTGGTTAAGCAGTTAAGCATCTCACTTTGGCTCAGGTCGTGATCTCATGGTTTGTGAGTTCCAGCCCCACCTCAGGCTCTGTGCTGACAGCTCGAGCCTGGAGCCTGCTTCGGATTGTATCTTCCTCTCTCTCTGCCCTTCTCCTGCTTGTGCTCTATCTATCTCTCTCTCTCAAAAATAAATGAAACATTAAAAATATTTTTAAAAAGGCAATACATTTCTGGGGCACCTGGATGGCTGAGTCAGTTAAGCACCCTACTTGGGGTCAGGTCATGATCTCATGGTTTGTGGGTTCAAGCTCTGCCTAGTGTGAGTCTGCTCAGAATTCTCTTTCCCTCCTCACTCTGTCCCTCCCCTGCTCATGCCCTCTCTTTCTTATTATTAATAAATAAATAAACTTTAAAAATACATTTCCAATATATTGTTTCTGTTTATGTGTCATATTTATAAAAATCATAATATTTATATTGATTTGATCAATTGGGTATTAATTTTGTAATGGCCACTCAAACCAGAAAAAAATTCCCAATTAGGGTTATAAAACTTTAAACTGTAAAATCTATATAAAACTATAAACTTACATGAACCTAAAATTTTTTTTAATTTTTTTTTAATGTTTTATTTATTTCTAGGAGAGAGAGAGAGAGACAGCGTGAGCAGGGGAGGGTCAGAGAGAGAGGGAGTCACAGACTCTGAAACAGGCTCCAGGCTCTGAGCTGGCAGTCAGCACAGAGCCCGACGCGGGGCTCGAACCCACGAACCGTGAGATCATGACCTAAGGGAAAGTCGGACGCTTAACCGACTAAGCCACCCAGGCGCCCCACATGAACTTAAATTTTTAAGATTTTCAACATATATACATATTTTGGTTGCAGAGATGTATGATACGGTAATCAATAAGAGACTTGTGCAAAAAATATGTTACATTGATCAGATTTTTGAGGGGCAAGTGGAATGGAAATGCAAGTGCAAGGAGAAAAAGAGACAATGTAAAATTTTTTATTGATGAAGAAGAGCTTCTTCACGTATTTTTAAGATGGATTATGGTAAACATCAAATCACTATGGGATTTAGGTCTTATTCAACACATTTAAAAGGGTAATGGGCGCCTGGGTGGCTCAGTCATTAAGCATCTGACTTTGGCTCAGGTCATGATCTCATGGCTCATGTGTTCCAGTCCCATATTGGACAAGCTCGTGCCCGCTCAGGTGAGCTTGAGCCCTGCCTTGGGTGAGCCCTGCTTCTCTCTCTCCCTTCCCCCTCCCGCCTTCATGGGATTCTCTCTCTCTCTCTGCCCCTCACTCATTTGGGTGCTCTGTCTCTGTCTCTCTCTCTCTCTCAAAATAATAATGGATAATAAAGCAGTTTTATATGAAAATGTCAATATTTATAAAATAATAAAACTATCCATTTTCTAAGTTTTAAACTAATGGTGAGAAATATTAGATGTCTCCTTAAAACTGTGCAAGGAGCTGCTCGGTTATATATATATATATGTACATATATATATTCTTTTATAAATATATAAGAATATATATTCGTATATATATGTCTCTATAGAGGAGGAATAGGGAAGCTGCTTGGTTTCATATATATTTCATATGTATATAGATACATGTGTATATATATGCTCTTTTATAAATATATAAAAATACATATTCTTATAAATAAATATATTATTTTAGGAATAGAGAGGCAAAGCAACTTGAAAACTACCACCCGTGACTAGAAAGGTAGAATGAAGCCTAATTACAGACATTCTTGGAAATTAGGTAGAGTTTAGTTTTGAGCTTTCAATCCCTAAACTTTCAGCTTCCTCACCCGTAAATGCGGTCAATTCCAGGCTTTGGAATATTCTATGATCGGCCACAGGGAGGCGTTGATGGTTGAGATACTGCTAGGAAGATCGCCCTGATGCCTGAATGCCATCCATATGGGAACCAGCACAGGAAGCTCTCAGTCTTGAGGGACAAAACTAGGGGGCAGGAGAAGAT